ATGGTTTGCAGAGCTTGAGCAAACTGATCCATACGGTGGTCCAAGCCATCCATTCTAGCCTCTTGTTTAACTAGGAGCTGTGGTATGTCAGCAGGTTCCATTATGGCCCTGTTGTAATGTCACGATTCGGGGAACCCAACACGCTGGCACACACACACACACACAAAAGGTGCCGTACCGGACCTTAGAGTGGCCGGGCTAAGCACACACAGAATAGTCAGGAGACAAGCAGAGTAAGGGGAACCAGAAGACAGAATAACGTGAAACAAGCCGAGGTCAAAGGGTAGGAGAAAGTCACAGAGTCAGATAAACAAGCCAGAGAGTACGTAACCAGAAGCACAAGGTAAGTAGCAATACTAGAAAGCAAAGACCACAACAGGGCAGGGAGGAACAGGAAAGGTAAGTATTTAAACCATAAGGTTAATTCTGATTGGATAATTTCCAATCAGAATTAACAATCACACGTGGGAGATATCTAGACCTCCCACTGTGATTAAGGCACTGTGCCTTTAATGCCGGGTCAGGTGACTGACCCCGGCGTGTATAAACCTGGGTGGTCTCCCAGCGTGCAGCGTCATGTATGCTGCCGCTGGGGGACGTGGAGGGAACGGCGGGCGGCATCCGAGGCTGGAAGGATGCCGCTCGCCGGACCCACGAGGAGGAGGGGACCGCGGACGGCTGGAGGGTGAGTACCGCGAGCGGAGTGCAGCCTCCCCTCGCAGCCGCCATCGGTTATCGGCCTGAAAAGTTCTGAATACCGGGCGATATTATCTAGTCGATCTCTAGTTGAAATATAGTAAAATTTTTAGAGTTCAGAGGAGTTTAATTTCCTAACGGCAGAGGCAATTGTACAAGTTCTTACCAGTACAAAATCTAGAATTTGAGCTGTATGTTTTTACTACTTTAATATTAAGTGCACCCACACTAATTATATATAATTTTGTTCAGGAGAAATTGGAAATTAATTTTACCAAAAATATTTATATATGAAACATAATTTATTAATAAGAAAAAAAAATTGTGAGAAATTAAATGTTATTTCCGAGTTCTGCGTGGAATTTTAATGGTGACTGTCATAATACACTTTTACTACAATAAAACACATTTGTGTGCTGTGATGTCCCTCAAGTACAATAATGCTCCCCATGTACAGGTTTCATAGTGTTTTGGAAAGTTACAGGGTCAAATAGAGAACTTGCCCCTGAGCGGCGGGTGGGGACCCTAAATGAAAATGTTAAACCCCATGCCCCCAAGGGGACTAGGGGACCCCAAACCCCTAGTCCCCATCCCACCCAAAAAAAAAATTAATAAACCCCTTCCAACCCCCCTCACCCTAAAAATAGTGAGGGGTAAACAATAAAACAAAATCCCTGTAAATAAAAAATTTACCATTTGATGTCTAATTTTTTCTAAAATCTTCTTTTTTCTAAAATCTTCTTTTTTCAGGTCCCAAAAATGCTCAATAAAAGTCCATAATACCCGTCAGACTTTGAAAAAAAAAAAAAACCTGACCCTAAAAAATAATCCATCTTCACCCATGGAGGGCACCGTGCAGACTGAGCTCCGCAGGGCGGGGAAAGGCTTATAAAGCCTTTCCACGCCATGCAATTGGGCTCAGAGCGCTCTGGTTGGTTGGTTTAAGCCAACCAATCAGAGTGCTGACAGGTAAGCCTCTAAATTTACCTGGATTTGAAATCCAACCAATCAGAGTGCTCTGCGTCATTTTACATAGCGTGGGAAAGTTCTTTGGAATTTTCCCATGCTATGTAATTTGATGCATAACTTTCTGGTTGGTTGGGGGCCGGGGGAGGACAATTTAGGTCTTTCAGCCTTTTGGTAGATAGCTCCCTGATACAGTGGGAATTAGGGAGTTATCTACTAAGCAGATGCAAGATGCACCCACGGCACAAATAGGATCATAGTTTCATTCATGAGAATGAAATTCTGATCCGAGCAAAGTCCTGAATTGAATCCACAGAGTATAGAGGATATGCTGTCTGCCTGGACGCCCCCAGGAATATGTTGACTACACTTATTACTTCACTCTGTCTAAAGGGCGCAAGTGGGCAGCACGGAATCGCACTCCGTGATGTCCTGCCACCCACATGCTGCTGCCCCCTTCCTGGCACCTGGGAAGACCTCTACAGTGGGAAGCCTGGCAGCGTGACCTCCTGAGGCAATGAGGAGGTAACAAGTTGTATAAAATGTGCTGCTTTCAGTACCCCTAACCCCACCCAAGTATGTAAGGGATGAAGGAGTGCTGCTTGCTCTGTAAGTGTTTGTGTAAGTTTCCACATATTCACAAATTCACTCAGATTGCTTAAAATATAATGTCTCTGTTTGTATGTATTAGTCAGTGTGTGTATGTATTAGTATTATTACTGTGGCGGACCGCCGCTCACCCCCCGACTGGGTACCTCTGCCAATCACGCTTCCTAGTAACACTGAGTACTATAAACACCGCACCAGACACCATACCACTGTAGCCCCCTTAGCAGCCGCAGCTTTGCTGGGGTCTTACTGTCCCTTCCCTCTCTGGACCAACACCTAGATCTATCTCCCAGTGGGAAGACCTCCCCTCCCAGAGAGTAAAGCAGGTATAGTGATCCAAAGAGCAGTATAGCAATCCCCACCACACAAGAGCCAAGACTTAAAGGGACACTCCAGGCACCCAGACCACGTCTGCCCATTGGAGTGGTCTGGGTGCCAACTCCCATCACCCTTAACCCTGCAAGTGTAATTATTGCAGGTTTTATAAACTGTAATTGTTACCTTGCAGGGTTAAGTCCTCCTATATTGGCTGTTTATCAGACAGCCACTAGAGGGAGTTCCATGTTCTTAAAACACGAAAAGTATATTAAACTACGCTGAACGTCCTCACGCTATGCATGAGGACCTCCAGCGTCGCAGGAATCACCATAGGAAATCATTGAATAATGCTTTCCTATGGAGAGGTCTAATGTGCACGCGACCATTGCCATGCATAGGCATTAGGTCTCTCCCACCGGCTGATGTCATCGGGGGAGGAGGTGGGCGGAGCCTGGCCCAGCGTCGAGGGAAATCAGCGCTGGATTCAGGTAAGTCACTGAAGGAGTTTTACCCCTTCAGCAACATGGGATTCCCTGCAGTGCCAGGAAAACGGGTTTGTTTTCCTGGTAATGGAGAGTCTCTTTAATGCTGGGAAGTAGTCTGTTTAATGGAAGCACAGTCACAAAATTTATACAAGTTATAAACTCCTCCTATGTGCCTGAGAGATAATTGAGTCAAGAACTGTACTAACTCAATTATCTCAAGGTACAGAAAAACACATATGTCAGACACCCCAAAAGTATCCCCAAAACACATGAAAACCCCACAAAAGTTCCATCCACTGACTGCCCCGATCTAAGTGACCAACATATCCAAAAATCACACAGATCGGTTTAGGGATTCTGGATTTCTATGGAAGTCATAATTTGACCGACCGTGCACATGGTTATATGCCCAAAACAGTTCCATGAATTCAGAGCTAATGGTCGGTCAAGTTCGGTAGTTTCACAATTAACTAACTACTGAACGTAGTCAATAGTCATACCGTGGAGCTTGTTCCCCTCATCCAGACGAACGATTCCACCGAACAGTGCCATTCTAGGTGGTGTAGAATCCAAACATAGACGATGATAGTTAAGCGGTATGCGGGAGTTTCCGTGTGCGATTTGAGATCCATGAACTCGACAACCAAACACTGCTGCCTGCATTCGCGGGAACAAAATGGCCGCCACCTTTGTGGTCGTTCATACGAATTGCGGCCACCCAGACGAACAATTAAAACACTGCGGATAGTATTGCTAAGAGATGATAGGGCTTAACAAGATCCCGAGTGGTCCATGGTTCGTGCTCCTGTTCAATTTCCAAACATAGGAAAATGGCACGAATTAAGTATTTTTGCAGGGCCCATAGTCTTTGGGCAGGAGGCTAGCCAGCAGGCCCCTCCAGGAACATGTGGAGGCATTTCTGCTACAATTACTATTAGCGTTTATATACCACCAGTATATTCTGCAGGGCTTTGCAATTATAGAAAGAGGATAGAAGAGGCAAAGGCGTCCTTGCTCAAACCAGCTTACAATCTATGGTAATATTATTAGGTGACGTGGTCTGATCGAGATTTGAATTTCGGGACCCTGGCTCCACTGCTTTAACCAAATTATAATCGTACCTGGAAAAACTCATGGAGCATCAGTCGCAACTGCAGCATGGAGTATTGTCCTCCCCCAGTTGTCCTGAGCATTGTAATCTGCGCTGGACTCAAGGAGATGCTTATCCGTATCCGCACACGCATATTATTGCAGCGAAATACAGCTCTGGTTGTCCAAGTTGGCACCTTGACCACTAAAGTCTAATATCATATTGGCAGTATTAGGCAATATGTATGCATTGGGCAGCGGATGTATTATTACATGAGGCAGAGTGTTTATGTAAGTATGTTTCTCTGTGATGCCTTTTCTGCAGGGGCGGACTGAGAGCCTTTGGGGCCCCCGGGCAAAATTAGATCCCAGGCTCTTTGAAGGCCAAATATACATGCATTAAATAAATGTTAAATATAACTCATAATACGGCATTCCTTTGGATGTGTATATTGTGAAGACCTGTGTATCAATGCATGTTTGTATTTGAGTCTGTGTGAATGTACTTGTGCATGTCTGGATGACTACATGTGCTTTTTGTATATAGTGTCTGTGTGAATGCATATGTGACAGGTGACAGAGTGTGTGAGGGAGAAGGTGACAGGTGGAAGAGTGTGGGAGGTTGTGACAGGTGGCAGAGTGAGGGGGTACCTGGTGGCAGAGTGAGGGAAGGAGGGGTTGAGTGGTGGCAGAGTGAGGGGGAGACACAGTGAGTGGGGGTGACTGGTGACAGAGTGAGGGAGTGGGTGACGAGTGGGGGAGGGAGGGAAGAGATGACTAGTGGCAAAGTGAGGGAGGGAAGAGGTGACTAGTGACAGTGAGGGGATAACTGGTGACAGAGGGAGGGGATAACTGGTGACAGAGGGAGGGAATGACTAGTGACAGAGGGAGGGAATGACTAGTGACAGAGGGAGGGAATGACTAGTGACAGAGGGAGGGAGTGACTAGTGACAGAGGGAGGGAGTGACTAGTGACAGAGGGAGGGAGGGGGTGACTGTCACTAGTCACCCCATCCCTCTCTCTGTCACTAGTCACCCCCTCCCTCACTCTGTCACTGTGTCACCCCCTCCCTCACTCTGTCACTGTGTCACCCCCTCCCTCACTCTGTCACTGTGTCACCCCCTCCCTCACTGTGTCACCCCCTCACTCACTCTGTCCCTAGTCACCCCATCCCTCACTCTGTCACTAGTCACCCCATCCCTCTCTCTGTCACTAGTCACTCCCTCCCTAACTCTGTCACTGTGAAGGAAGGAAGGGGTGACTGGTGACCTCTGTGTGAGAGGAGTAAACAGGAAGTGATGTCACCACGCGGGACAGGGAGAAGGAGACCTGGCAGAGAGGAGGTGAAGCTGCCAGGTCTCATGGGAGGAGGAGGGGGGGTGAATTTAGAGAGCGGTAGGTTGTGGGGCCCCGCGCTGCATCAGGGGCCCCACAAACTATCAATTAAATAATTTTTTTTTTTTTTTTTTCGTTCCAGTTGGAGAGATCTCTGATCAGCTGGAGCATGGCTGTGCGGCCGGGCCACTGACTGCCTCGGGCCCTCGGTCCATGACCGAAGTGCCTGAGTGGTCAGTCCGCCCCTGCTTTTCTGTAAAGAAAACAAATGCATTAATTTATTTTCTTGGCCTTTTTCATAACTAAAATCTTATTTTTCCCTAGGACCCCCCCCAGTGGCAGTCACTTAGACGGCCATTAGATGTGCTTCTTGGGTCACATATTCTTCTGTCCCAGGCAACATTGCGGTCAATATTAGAAGGCAGGAGCACTATATTAAAATGCACCTGCTTCTTCCATCTGCTCAGTGGAGCGAACGGAAGTAGATGTGCTCTGTTTTGAAATGTAAAAGTGCAAATTTTTACAGTGAAATTGGCACGTTTATAAATGAGAATTTTAAAGGGATACTCCAAAGCCATGTAGCAATTTAGCAAACTGAAGTGCTTTATAGATGTATAGTGCTCCTTTAATATACATTTAAAAGAAAACCGCATCATGTGAAAGAAAAGTTAATACAAGTATTTTTTATGGTGTTATAGCCATAAAAGGGACAAACTTGGGAAAACTCATCTGTCACCAAGAGAATGTGTAGTATGAGGATTAGGACTCAGGACAGTGAGCTGCAACCTGCATGTACAAGAGGCTGCTTCTTGTGTAGTTTAGTGCAGCTCAATGTGGCTTGTTCTGCAATTTTATGATGCATCCCATCCTACAGCAAGAGCTGCACAGAACTATGTGGGCAGATTAGATGGGTGAATTACTCTTATCTGCCGTCACATTCTATGTGTTGTTTGGTGCCTCATGGAGCACACTGTGCAGCTTCACTCTTACTCCAAATATAGCCATACACTATTTGAACACAGTTGATGAGCTTAAAGGACCACTATAGTGCCAGGAAAACAAACTCGTTTTCCTGGCACTATACGGTCTTTAACTCTCCCACGCCCACTGCGCTGAATACTTACCCTTCTCCAGCGCTGGGGAACTCTCCTCCCTCTCTCGACATCAGCTTTGAATGCGCATGTGCGGCAAGAGCCGCGCGCTCATTCAAACAGTCCATAGGAAAGCATTTCTCAATGCTTTCCTATGGTCGTCAGCGTCTTCTCACTGTGATTTTCAATGTGAGAAGCGGCTGTCAGTGAGACATCCACTAGAGGCTGGATTAACCCTAGTGAAACAATGCATTTGCATTAATTTCTCTGCAACTATGTTTACAGCTGCAGGGTTAACCCTAGATGGACCTGACACCCAGACCACGTCATTGAGCTGAAGTGGTCTGGGTGCCTATTAGTGGTCCTTTAATTGCTCATACATTTCAGTGGGAATCCTGGGAGCTGATTTGTCAATGTCCAACTTTGAACCTATAGGTGTGTTTTTTAAATTCTAGAATGTTTATTGTGCTAATGCTGCTAAATGTTGTAGATTATACAACACACTTTATATACATATGCAGACTGGATTTGAGGTGACAAATATTTAAAAATTTGAAATTTTATTACAGAATTGAATCTCTGGAGTCATGAAAACCTATAAGCAAAGGGATAAACAGGGGACAAAAACTCAGGAAAGTGTCAAAGCACCTGATGAAGCAAAGATAAAGGTAAAAATATGTATAAATATGCAGATTGCTTTTAAAGGGACACTATTGTCACCAAAACAACTTTAGCTTAATGAATCAGTTTTATTCTTACTATGCTTTGTTTGGATTTTGACATGGCCAAACATCTCCACTTCAGGAAAATCCAGATGTTTCGAGATGTCGTGTGGTTTGTGCAGTCTTTTTCAAATTGTACTGTCAAGAACTTTAACATTAAAGGACCACTCTAGGCACCCAGACCACTTCAGCTTAATGAAGTGGTCTGGGTGCCAGGTCCTTCTAGGGTTAACCCATTTTTTTTTTTATAAACATAGCAGTTTAAGAGAAACTGCTATGTTTATTAATGGGTTAAGCCTTCCCCCTAATCCTCTAGTGGCTGTCTCATTGACAGCCACTAGAGGCGCTTGCGTGCTTCTCACTGTGATTTTCACAGTGGGAGCACGCCAGCGTCCATAGGAAAGCATTGATAATGCTTTCCTATGCGACCGGCTGAATGCGCGCGCAGCTCTTCCTGCGCGTGCGCATTCAGCCGAAGGGGCGGAACGGAGGAGGAGAGAAGGAGGAGAGCTCTCCTCCCAGCGCTGGAAAAAGGTACGTTTTTACCCCTTTCCCCCTTCCAGAGCCGGGCGGGAGGGGGTCCCTGAGGGTGGGGGCACCCTCAGGCACTGTAGTGCCAGGAAAACGAGTATGTTTTCCTGGCACTATAGTGGCCCATTAAATATGCAACTGAGGATTGCAATTTCTCCGAGCATTTCACAATCTGACCATGGGGTTTATTTGTTGGGATGTCCACTACTGAGATGTTTTCTACTTTTGAATTATCTTTTTCACTGTAGAATGATGAACTGTAAATGTTTTGAAATGGCCTTATAGCCTTTTCCAGTTTGATGGGCAGCAACCATTGCTTCTCTGTGATCATTGCTGATGTATTTCCTCCTTGGCATTGTGTTAACCTCCTGAAACCCAGCCCATTAACTTGTGTACTGGACATTTCGTTCACATGTATCTCCTTTTATTCTTAAGAGCTACTCTATCAATCCCTGTTGTATTTTAAACAGGACATCCTGGGCTTTCCAGTGATATGTCACTTGACAGGCTGGGATGCTGGGAGCTTCCTCTTTATCAAAAATGGAAAGAAATTGGAAGACATTTTTTTTTCCTTGGTTCCCAGGAGGTTAACACACACCTGAATGATCCAGACCATCAAACTGCTAAAATTTCATCTTTTATAGAAGTGGTCACACTTGCTGAAGATCTTTTTATCAAGGGAATTTGATTAGCAGCACCTGTCTGCTAATTAGCTTCTTAATTCCTATGGAAGCAGTAAGGGTATACATTTATGTTTTTCATACATGGCTTCTCCATTTTGGATAATTTTTGTTAACCCCTTAAAGCTGCACTGTCATGCCGAACTTACCTTTCCTCAATCTCTCCCTCTTCTCCCCCTCTTTCAGGATCTGTTCTTCTTTTCTTTCGGTCTTCTTTGGTTTTCTTTAAAATCATAAGACAAAGTAGGGACTCTTTGCCTTATGGAGGTTTCCTCCGCTTGACCAGCTCCGACCAGCGGAGGAGCAAAGTGTGCTTTATTTCCGCTGGTCAGAGCAATTTTCCCATAATTCTTCTGTGTTCCCACGATGCTTCCTGTCATTTTAGACGAAACTGCCGAATTGCTGCCTGTGGCTGCTCACTGCAAAAAAAATAAATTAAAAAAAAGGAATAAAAACCTATTGGCCCCCACCCCTAAACGATGGGTGGGGGCCCTAAAGTAAAATAAGGGGGGAGACCTATTGTCCCACCCCTGCGCGGTGGGTGGGGGTCATAATGATAATGAGGGGGGGACCTACTGTAATCCCCCCTCTCACCCCCAGGTCCCAGACCCTGGGCGGCGGGTGGGGGCAGGAAGCTGTTTCTTACCTTTACTGCAGCTCCCCAGTGCAAATCTCGCGAGTCCTGCGGCCATCAGAGAGTTACCGCAGGTTACCATGGCAACGCTATGCAAGACTTGCACTGGGAGCTGGAGGAGCTGCAAGAAAGGTAAGAAACTGCTTCCTGCGTGCCCCCCCAGTACTTCACAAGCCACCGGACCACTAGGGAATACTATATTCCCCCCTCCCTAGTAAGAAGCAGGGAGGGGGGACTAAACAAACAAACAACATTTTTTTTAAATATATAAAATAAAAATTCATTAAAATAAAAAAAATGCCCTCCCCCCCCATTTTACATAAATTATATCACTACACAAATACACACTGCATTACATACACATACACTACACAAACACTCACACACTGCATTATATACAGTCACACACTGCATTATATACACTACTCACACTGCCTTATACACACGCACTACACAAACTCACAATGCATTATAAACACACACTACATACACACTCACTACACAAACACACACTGCATTGTATACACACTACACACACACTGCATTGTATACACACTACACAAACACACACTGCATTATACACACACTACACAAACACACACTGCATTATACACACACTACACAAACACACACTGCATTATACACACACTACACAAACACACACTGCATTATACACACACTACACAAACACACACTGCATTATATACACACTACACAAACACACACTGCATTATATACACACTACACAAACACACACTGCATTATATACACACTACACAAACACACACTGCATTATATACACACTACACAAACACACACTGCATTATACACACACTACACAAACACACACACTGCATTTTATACACACACTACACAAACACACACACTGCATTTTATACACACACAACACACACTGCATTTTATACACACACAACACACACTGCATTTTATACACACACAACACACACTGCATTATATACACACACAACACACACTGCATTATATACACACACTACACAAACACTGCATTATATACACACACAACACACACACTGCATTATATACACACGCACTGCATTTTATACACACACAACACACACTGCATTATATACACAAAACACACTACACACACAC